TAATAGGCCTAATATTTTGAGGCATGGCTTGTTGGTTAGGGCGTTCGATTCGCAATTTTCAGGTCGCTGGTTCGAATCCCGTCACTGAACATGCTCGTCCTTTCAGTCGCGGGGACATTATAATCTCACGTTTTAGTCCAAGAGATGGCTATATTGAGTACCTGCCTTCCTTTTAGTCTATCACTTCTAAATTTGGGACGGCTAGCGCGATTAGCTCTCGAGTAGCTTTGCTTGAAATTCAACAAATAATATTTTTGGTAAAATTACCTAAGTCCTTAAAATTAAAAACGTGTTCTTTTTTTACTTTATTCTTGTATTGGAATAAAAGGTTGTTTATAGAATTATTATTTCGTTGTTAATGAAGGTATTATAATATTTGTGTTCATAATACGCTATGGACACTTAGAAACGAAATTTACATTCTTCTGATATTATTATATATATATGGAAAGATAATATACTTAAAACCTAGGTTTGTACCTCCTTCACTGGGCTCAGGTGAAGAAAAGATCAGCAGATCTTGTACACAGTACTGTACAGTGAGAAATTAATTACTTTCTCTCAACTTCTGCAGAAACAGAGTATCAAATACTAAAGTATAAGTAAAATATAATTCAAATTAATTGTTTTGGCTGTATATAATATGTATATATATCAAACATAACGAAAGATAGAAAAAACGATGATTTTATCTGTTATCATCCAAGGCAAAGTTCATAGATTCATGAAAACTATAATATGTTGAATGTTTCCTTAACCTTAACACTCCTTGTAACACGACAATTTCTACTTTACTTATACCACCTAATGTGTATTTGCACCCAAGTCTAAAAGCAGTAGTATTGTGTTGAACTATCTATATGCCATTAGCCAACGGTTGGAAGAATAAAATATAGCTAACATAGCAGAAAGTAGTGGATTAGAAAGCGGAAATGGTGTCGATGAAACTGAAGAAGAGTCGGAGGAAGAAAGTGACACTTAATTTGAGCCTGGATCTGAAGAAGACGGCATCGAAAAGATGTTAAACTGTTGGTGATACGGTTCAATTTCTCAATTTTGTAATAAATTGTGTTAAGAAATTATTTTTTGGAATTGAGATCTTTTTTATCAGTATCTAATGTACTTTTATCCTGACTTTCAACCTTGGCGCGAGATGTGTAATAAACTCAGCGTTACTGGTCTTATCTTCAATACACTTGCAGTAAAAGATGCCAATTGAAGTTTGTAATCAGCTTAAATAGCTTTTCTAGATGTTCCCGAAATTTCCAGAACATTATCTAGATAAAGCTCTCGAATGTTTCGGAAATTCCTAAAATATTATGAAAATAGAACTCTATAACTTTCCCGCACATTTCATAGAAAAGGTTAAGTTATAAATATAAAACAATAGGTGGAATAAGTTAATACAAACAGGAATTAAAACACTTGTAATGTAAATATGTAAGGTTAGAAGGTGGATTTTGGTTACAGAGGGTTATAATAATAAGGATGAGGAAGGTCTGTAATGTCACACATGCTCTGACTCAGCTTGTGTTTAGTAATACAGTGGAGTGTAATTGTACTCCAAGTGATACACAAAGGGTTTAAAAGATTCAAGTCATATACAATGTGGTACTTGTAAGGCTGAAACTTGAAACTAAAATTATTTCCTTTAAAAGTAAAAGTATTTAAAATCAATACTAAGTCCTCACTACATGCAAGTAGTGAAGAAAGGTTGATATTAATTTTCATGTTTCCAGTATTGCCGAAAGAAACATATATACCGTTTTTACCAGTCATAACATATAAGTAAAAAATCTCATAGTTCTAATAGAAGAGCCCCCTAGTGGCACAGTAAGTCTGCGGACTTACAACACTAAAAACCGGGTTTCGATACCCGTAGTGGGCAGAGCACAAATAAACAAACTGATAGAAGAAAATTATAAATCTCACCTTACAATTAAAATATAAATAATTGTGTGAAGTTTTAGCGTTGTTTGAAGAAAAAAAAGATAGTTGCCAAATTGTGTTTGGGTAAGGCCTAGCAATTAATGTATGGTTTCTTCATTTGTAATGTTTATATTGTTCCATGTTAAAAATATTAACTTTTTTATCAAGATGATTTTTCAAACTGTGATTGCCAGCGGGAGTTATTGAATCAAGTGCTTCTGTAAAGTTGTAACGTACGTATTAAGAAAACATGTTTTCTTCGTTAATCAAGTGTTAAAACAACATTAGAAATAAATAATCTTCTAGATTGTGACGCATAAAAAACATGAACAAAAACCAGCACAGTATAACAAGGGTTGATATGTATTTCCAAATACAATGTTAATATAATTGATACTTGAAACCGTCGGTACTTGGTGAAACTCCATAAAATACAGAATTAAGGAAAAACAAGAAAATTGTACGCTTCACAACATTTGTGAAACATACAGTTGTCTTGTTTTCCTTAATTCTGTAACAATGTTAATACCTTTTAAACGCCATGCCATAAAAAGGTTGATTGAGAATACTATGAAATGTAGCTGGGGTATTAAAAGTTGAAACAATTCATATACTTTACGAGTTCAACACGACTGCTGGTTTGTGTATAACACATATACATATATGTGTGACTGAGGTTGGTTGGTATTGCCTGATTTTTGAAACTGAATTACACCGATATAACGTAATATATATCTTCATAAAAGAATAAGATATGTTAACACAGTCCTTCCTATTTCTTGGAATTATTAGAAACCAACAAGGTATATTTATTTATTTTTATTTCTAGTAGTTTATCTTCTCAGCTATCACGTAAGATTAAATAACATTTTGTTTCAGACAACTTCCAAATTTTAGTTCATGC